TATATACATACATATAACATATATATATATATACACAATTATATACACATATGCATATACCTGCACCATGAAATGGTGCCGGCCGACAAGCCTACAAGAATGCCGGGTGGCCTCCTCCTCGCAGGCTTCCTCCTGCTTGCGCTTGTCTTCTTCAAGTGCCACCTTCTTGGCCAAAGCGCTGTCGGCCGAGACCTTCTTCTCGGCTGCCTCGGGGGTTTGAGTCAGTGAGGGCTCTGACACTGAACTGACTTGGGGTTTAGGGTTCAGGCTTTAGGGTTTAGGGTTCAGCTGCGAATGGAAGGTTGAAAAACAACCCCGAAAAATCATGAGACGCAGAGCAAGCCTTATAGCCGAGTGAGGGTCAAAGCATACCTTAAGGCCGGATCTAGTCGAGTCACCTCTTGCTCTGCTGCGGTCAAGGCTTTCAAGTGGGACCTGGAATCCCTCAAGGCGTGCTGAATCGCTCTGCTGATGGCACTGGGGACCATCCCCACTCGGAGTTCCTGGGCACCTCGGACTCCCAGAAAAGCCGCCGGATGCTCGTGACTGCGAGTCGCCCCTGCTCTCAGACTCAGGGTCAGGATCGCCAAACCGAAAGCACGGCAACGCGCCAGCATGGCGGAAGATGTGTAAATCACTCAATCTGGCAACTCAACGGGGTTTTTGCTTTGAGCAGCTTGAATGGCTGCGGACACAGCAGCAGGCAGGAAGCTCCAGCCTCATGCCGGCCGTCGCGGCCGCACGCTACAACTAGGCCTAACTAGGCTCAGCTACAAAAAGGAGCATCCTGCAGGCCTTGCACCAGCCGTGCAGCCGGACCAGCTGCGACCCTGCGGAAGCAAGGATACGAAGCTGCGAAGCCGGAAGAAAAACGAAGAAAAAAGAAGATGAAGCGACGCTCTCGCCGAGCACCCTGCGGGATCTCACTGCACCAGCCACCGGCCAGCCTTGCACATGCTCCTGAGGGGAAGACACAGTGTCAGGGCGTTCCCCGTTTCCGCCGTTCGAGCTCCAGTGAATAGAACCCTAACCCCCCAGGTCCCTACTATATAGGGTACTAGAGCCCCTATAAGGGGCCCTATATAGTAGGTAAGTGGGGGGTTAGGGGAAGGGATCCCCGACAACTCGCTGAGTCTCTTGCGCAGAGCCTGGACACCACGGGCCTGAGTTCGCGAGCGTGTTTCACCTCTTGGAGCCTCAGAGTAATAATAATAATAATAGTAATTGTAATAGTGATAGTAATATTATTAATAATAATAACAATAATAATCATCATAATAATAGCAAGGATAACAAAACAACAGGCCTCACTGGAACGCCTGGATCATGGAGTCCTTCTGCTCGTGGCTTTCATGTCGCTTTGAGGGTACATGGCTACCGCCTGGTGCAGCCCGCCACCCTCCAAGGCTGCAGCAGCAGTATGAGGATCCTGGGCGACATGCCATTTCGAGGCCCATGGAGGGGGAGGGATTTTCGATTCTTGCGGAAATCCTGCAACCCCTAAACCCAAAACCTTTGATCCCTATAAGCCCTATAAGCCTTATTATAAGCCCCATCCCTTTTGCATCCAGCCCTATCCCTAAACCCTAAACCCTAAACCCCAGAACCCTCAATGGGCTTCGAAGGGAGAAGCTGAGCTCCCATCGCCTCCTCCTGCGGGAAGACCTCAGCTGCCAGCGTTTGTTCGGGTCTTCCCTGCTGGTAATATACAAATATATCTAAATACATATTGGTTTATCATTCTAAATACATATAGGTTTATTTATTTTTATATGATTATGTATGTATATAGGGGCCTTCACAAATAGGCAAGGGTTCCTGTTAAAGGGACCTATCATTTGGTACTATGAGAGTCTAGTACAGGGCCTGGGCAATCAGAACGGGTTTTGATGATGGCATACTGGATTATCACTTTACAGGGACTTTAAGTGAGTGAACATCCCTGGTACTTGTTCCGATCGATCTCTCTCTCTCTCTCTATATATATATATATATAAAAATTAAATCCATAAGCAGAACTTTATGGCCCGAGAGTGGCTTCACCTCTTCAGGGCGCAACCTGGCCGCCCTGGCTCATTCGAAAGGACACAGCAGGAAAGACAACCCGGAAAAAGACCCCCGGCTTTCTGCAACAGCATGCTGAGCTGCTGGCAAAGTCGATGATACTAGATGACGTGTGGACCTGAATGTCACTGCTTTGACGGACACCTCTTGTAGTTCGAGACGTCTGAGAGATCCACGTGAGCAAACGTTCGGACACTCTAGCTGCGGCTCCAAGAAGACGGGGGAGTCTTGATAAAACCAGGTGCGGTGCGGAAAAGCAGTTCTCCGGGGCGGCGTGGCTGCAAAAGGCCGACGCCTCGACGTTAGCAGAACTGATCTTTGCTTCTGTTCTGTAATGCTGCATGTATGCCATTGCTTAATGGTTACTTCATGCTACATCTTCTTCCAATGTCATGCGTAAGATTGCACTGGGGCCCCATTCCACATCAGACTCTTATAAACCGAATCAGCAAGGCCAGTTCCTACGAGGACGACGACAGAGTCTATTGACCAATGATTGTATGATTCCCCAGATTCAAGTGCTACGCCGTAGACCCTCTGTTTATGTAATGCAGGTTGGGAAATCTCACGCTGAAGGACTGCTCCCTAGGCGCAGACAAAGCTCAGGCGACCTCGCCCCCCTCCCCACGGCCACCCTCGATGCGAAGCCATGGGCGATGAGGTTGATGACAGAAAGCTGGCACCTCAGTCGAAAGCCGCTACAGGAAGCGTGCCTAACTCCACAGGCAAGAAGGACAGTGGGACCTTCGCAATGCTTCCAGCAATAGTAGCAGTAATAGTAATCACAATCGTCAAAGACAGGACAATAATAACAGTGATGCTAGTGGTAACAAGTTCTAGTAGCAGTAATAAGAAAAATGTCACTTACGAAAGCAAACAGCCACAACAATAACGGTGACGAGCAATAGCAACAGTAATGGCAATAGTACTGTAGTACTGGCAATGGTAATGGCAACCTAAACCCTTTTTACACCTGGACTACGCATATGCCATTGGGTTACCCTAAACCCTAAACCCTACACCCTAAACCCTCAAACTAGTCATGGTACGGCTCGTCGGCCTTTAAACGAGGCATTCTGGCATGATATCGGACAGGGAGCAGAAAGCCGAAGACACATGACAAGGAAGGAATACTGAATCTTATGGGTGGTTGTCGAAATTAGAAATTAGGGTCCCTTTTTGGGTCCTTATTATAATACGGCACCTATTGTTTAGGGTACCCCAAAATAGGGACCCTAATTTTGACAACCACCCTTATCCAAGCAACCCCGTGGCGCAGGAAGCTGATACAGTAGCGCTATAAGGCCATCAACCAGCCCGACACCTCCCTCTGCAGGTGACTTCCAAGTACTTGAGGCCCCAGCGAACCAATCCTCTCGTGATTTGCGCTGTCGCTCCACACCTGAAGCTAATCGAAGCCACATGTTACGACAGTTACGAGGGCCCGAAGCATCAGGCAATCAACAATGTCCCGCAAACCCCAGCAATGTGACAATCTCTATCGGCAAATCTTACTTACAGTCTTACAGGCAATGATGAAACAACCGCAAAACCCTCAACCCTGAACCCCCCCTTTTCATCGCACGCCATGGGTGGAGCTCTGTTGCCACAGTGCTTGCTGCTGCGACTGGGGTAGCGCTGCCATCTTTGCAGTTTCCTGAGGCTGCTGGTTGAAGATCTGCAGCATGTTTATACTTGCGCACTTGCATTATGCATATACATACAGACATATGTATATTCTACACGTTTTTTTTGGCTCATTTGTGTATATGTACGTATGTAGATATACACTGCAGTACGTATACGCATATGCATGCATACATCCAGGCATTCCCACGCATCATACTCTATCGCTCCGTATGCTATACGGCCATGAACAAAGCGGGCTCTCGGCAAGGTATATCAGCCGCCCTCTTTGCTTTGATTTTGCGAAAAGCAAGGAATGTGGATGTCATGGGTGTGTATGTGATGAGACAAAAATCTACTACTCTTTACACTGCTCTGCTCTAGTCGGTCCTACCCCACCCCACCTTAATCTACTTCTACAAGCGAATACAAAAAAGAACCATTACAGTACAGCATTATCATAGCAAAGACAATGAACTGTAACATAGCACACTGCAACCAATACGCATGAAATGTACTATCAGGCAACAAACAGTATCATTTAATGCCCGACAGGGACGCTTTGTTGGCCTGCGTTTCTTTGTGTCAGGTGCAAGTCAGGAAGGGACTACAATATTAGTATATAGAACAATTTAAAACCGGATCACATAATATGGTATAACGGTATCTAACAGACCTAACGTAATGAGCGTAATACATTACAACAGAGCGAAATACAACGCAATACAGCAAACTATAGCAAAAACAACTAAAACATAACAGAACAGGATATGGTAACTCTTAATAATGCAGGAGGTGTAGGCAGACACGGATTATACATTAATGGCGGTGTACAGAAAGATCTACCATATGAACATCTCTTTATCTATGCGTCTGTCTGCATCCCTCGCTCCCTCTCTCTCTCACACCGACTCAGCCGAGACACAGAACACATCGGTTTCGCTATGCCCGCCTACCTACACAGATATGCACCAAGTAGAACTATCGAATATAGAACCTGCGTGCCTTCGACACCGATTCGAGGCATCCGCTGTCGATCCGAGAGTGGTATGTATCAACTGTACATATGGATATCTCTGTCTCTCTGTCTATCTGGCTGTCTACCTATCTATCCGGCTATCATGTACTTAGAAGGACATAGTGATTTGAACTGGCGAAACAAGTAATCACATTGCCGGAAAGCGTTGACATCTGCACCAATCTCTCTCTTTCTCTCTCTCCCCCTCTTTCTCTCCATCCATCCATCCATTCATCTACCTGTCTGTCTGTCTGTCTGTCTGTCTGTCTGAGAGTCTGAATCCTACATACATACATACATGCATACATACATACATAAATACATACAGTTACATACAGCTACATACGCTTATACATACATACATACATACATACATACGTACGTACATACATGCATACATGCATGCATACATACATGCATACATACAGTTACATACGCACATGCGTACATATGTACATACACATACGACGTGCATGCTTACATTCCATTGCATTCCATTGCATTACATTACAGTACATTGCATTACACACAAACAATTCGAAATGTCAACTATAGGTAGTTACCATCCCCTGCTGAAGCACTAGCTAAGCATTAGCTTGGCTTCAGCAAAAGTCTAAACACTAGTTAGATGACTTCACGGTTGCATGGTTGCACTACATTACATTACATCACTTTACATCTACACCTACCTTCTTATCCATTTGCATCTACATGGACAGTGCGCTACATTCGTACATTCATAGAATTTATCTGTGTTTCTGAATCGGTTCGTGTGTGTCTTTGCGTAAAGTAATTAAATGTGCATGTGCTTTGGGGGTTGCAATTGCGTACCCATGTCAGGGAGAGCGTACAGTAGCGACAGATGGGGTGGGGCTTCGGCTGCTGGGTTTTCGGGTTGAAGTTGTCTGCAAAGAGGCCACCATCATCTGCAGGCAGGGCTGTTCCTGCCATGGGCAGCCTGCGAAGTGCCGGACAAAGTTGCCGGGCTGCCACTCGTGAGCCATCCAGTCAACCGAGGCTGGCGGCACGAAGGCATTGAAATGCGCCTGAGGATGGCCACGCAGCTACACGTTCCAGATCCTCTGGCCCCTGTACGTCTGCAACGTTAAGGATGATTTCATTTGACCTTATCACTGATCCGAATTCTGCTCAGAAGAAAGCAGCAGCGTCCTGGCAGCGAGCCTGGTGCACGAGACGAACCTCCGTTGGGTAGCTGAAGTCCTCCAGTCCCATCTCCATAGCCCCCCTCACCATGTGCCAGAAGAACATGGACTGATCCTGATGGAGAACCCGTGGCAACGAAAACAAGCTAGTTACCGAATGCAGTGCTAGAACCTTGATGGTCTGAAAATCTTCGCTTGATGCCACAAGCTGATATTTCAGTTTGTACCCGCCACTACTACCAAAGACTTAAGGAGTTGACTGCTGCACATTGTACGGATGTTGCTGCAAGTTACCAGTAACTAGTAGCACTAGTGCCTCGACACTTGTGCTTGCATCCAGCCAAGAATCCCATGCAACGGTAAAGGTACTGCTTGCCACACGCTCCAGAAATCGCAGGGACCACGGGGAATTCCGTATCAGGAACACACCCGTGTTGATGCCGCCAGGATCTTCGGCGACAAGGAAATGAGCGATGTCGCTGCCAGGACCTGAACCCTGAGCATATGTGTTGATCAGATCGGAAACCGATGTTGCGAAGTCAGTGAAGAAAGCGTCGCAATCGATGAAAAAGATCCAGTCTGGGGGTGGGTCTTCCGGCCGATTGGCGTTGAAAGCCCAATGCGCTCTCTGCCCCGTCATCCTTTGATACACGACGTACATCTTGCTGTAATGCGCCTCCCGATCTGGCAGTGCATTTTCTGTGTGCACCACGTACCGGTACCCATGTCTCTGCGCATATGCCTGGTGGTTTGGCACGGACAGGTCGGGCAACGGCGATTCCAGTGTCGTCTTGGACGTCGGATCAGGCTTGTACGAGCCTCGGTACCACAAGGGCCTTAACAATTATAAGAAACAACTATGTAGTACCATTGATTACTGATTAAGTAGGGGCTATAGAAAGGAATGAAAGTATGAATTATTGAGGCTTCTGTGCTATGACGACGGAACTTGCTGACTTCTGGAGGGAAACCGGCCTTCGTGATTCTACAGTCGCCTGCAGCTTATGGCCCATAATTAAAACGGGCCTTAGTAATTAGAATAGGGTTTTGGGACACATTGCAGTATGATTACGCTAGAGCACCAGGGAACCCCCCAAAATAGTAGTGGTCATTATTTAGGCCTCTATTTTAGACTTGTCGCTGCTTGGCTGCCTGGCCGTGTGCCCTGGTAGACACGAAGTGGCCCAGGCTAGCTTAATCCGGCGCTTTCTGGCCGTCATCAATTTTATAGGCTCTTAAGCAATACTTCGGCACCTCTGAAAGTCGGATTGGACCGTAACGTCACTACAAACGATACTTTTGAAAACACCCTAAACCCTAAATCCGCAAAAGCTACAAACCCAACCCTTACAGTACACGGCCCTATATACACCCCTTTCGTTGCCGTGGAGCAAATCGAGTGGATTTCAACCCGGCCGAAAGCAGCACCCCGCAACCAGGGTTTGGGCTGCACGCGAAGCGCATCGTGCAGCTGCCCGAGCATGATCCTTGGCTTGAGGGCTTAGAGCTTCAAGGCTTGTCCGGGTCGTTTAGGGTTCAGGGTCGGCTTGAAAAGGAAGGCCGCGCTAAGACATGAAATGGTGAGCATGGCGCTGTGGCGACGGAAGATGATTCAATTGTGAAAATGCCCGAGCTTTGCCGCACACCCCCGGTGTCATGTAACTGGTCATTGCCAAACATGGCATGCCGGGGGATGTCTTCCGGCAGTCCACCAACCCATCGCTCTCACGACCACTGCTTTAAAGTTGAGCGTGCAAGAATCAAGAACCTCTGCTCCGTCACCACTCTGTTGTCTGCGATTTGCTCTCGGTGCCTCGCTTTCTGCTCCCTCGACTTCCCAAGACTGTTTGGCACCTGCTACATCGGGTGCCGGGAGTCGGGTTTCAGACAGGAGATTTGACGCTCGCGCCGGAAGGACTGCCCTAAACCCCGCCCCAACCCCCCAACATCCCTGAACCGTTGTAGCCGTGGTCTGACATGGTGGGAACTCACTCCGGGTCCTGCTATGAGAGACAGAGCACGACAAAACACAAGTCTGCAGCTCTTTTTGTTCGTTCCAGGGGGTGCTTGCGCCCGACAATGGTAGCTCCGGGATCTCCGTGCCCTGTCCTCAACTCTCCTTCAGAACAACCACCTTTGTTAGGGCCTCCTGCTTGCTGTGCTGGAACAGTCGGCTCATGATCACATCTTGGTTGGATGAGGGGCTCCCGGAAAGGGCTGCACACTGACCATCTTTGGCTTCGGCCACCAACATGCCACCGCGCTTTCCACAAAGCGTGGAATGCCGGGCGCAGAGTGCGGCGTGGCGGGTGTCGAATGGCCGAAGCCGTAGATATTCGCAGTGGGACAAGGCCTTGTAGTTCTGCACCTCTTCACTTGACGACTCGTCCGGCTTGTACAGATCGTCAGGATTACTGTCGAAGAAGCCGTCCAAATACTTGGACACGTTGTAACCCATAGCATTCCTGAGCGATTTCAAGCCGTAGCTGTTTGCACCAAAATGGTTCGCGAAGGGCTGGTCTTGCAAGAATTTGCCGCCCTCGGCTATCTCGAAGCCAACGCGGGCGCAGTTCGTCAAGGCTTCGGTGATGCCAACGCCCTTGGCCGCCGCGAGCAGTGGAAGCACCGCTACGGCGAAAGGGAGCACAACCGCACCGGTCACGGCTCCTGAGACGAGGCCCGCCATAAGGCTGACAAAGCCCGGGCCGATTTTCTCGGCCGTCGCTGAGCCAGCAACGATACCGCCGGCAGCTCCGCAGGCCCCTGCAGCAAACAAGCCGGCGAACACACCGGCAACGAGACCACCGGTGGCATCTGCAGGGGCAATGAGGGCCATCTTGAGTTTGTCCTTGTAGTCTTTTGCGCGCGACACGGCGATGGTCCTCAGCCGATCTGCTACCAGCTCTTCCGGCGACGGCTCGCACAGCACGCAAAGGTTGAAGCATTGGTAGTGGTTTTGGTTTGCAAGTGCCTGATCGGAAAGCATCCAAAGGTCTCGGACCAGCTTCGTCAACTCCGGAAGAGGAACCTCAGTCTGCGAAAGCATCTCAGACACATTTTTCTTGACGTCTTCCAAGACGTGCTCATAATTTTTGTAGTCAACCCAGCTCTTCTGGAATTCGAGAGCTCGTGGGTAGTCGTTGATGCCTTCGACTTCCGCCGTGTCGGAGATCTCGAGCAAGTCGCCTGCAACAGACTTCGAAGACCGGTGGCCAACCGCCCCCTGGCACAGGAGCGACGCCAAGCAGGCCCCCAGAACGCACCGAGGAAGCACTGGCATGGTGCAGGGCTATGAGTAGGAATCCTGTACAGGGAATGGTCAAACGATGGACAGGCTGCTGCCACGAGGACTTGAGCGGCAAAGGCTGGAGTCTGTAAATCCAATGGTTTCATGCATATCAGCAACATCAGCTCCATACCAAGCGGCTGGTATTGGATGTGCAAGCGCGGCAGAAATTTCTTCGGAGGGGCATTCGGCATAGCCTCCAGCGACGCATCGGTCGGCGTTCCAAACGCGTCCTGCATCTATGGCCGAACACGAGAAACGGTGACGCTGCTTCCCACGCCCAGGCACAAGCATCACGACAAACTCGTATTGATGTCACGGCTGGGTTTCCGATTTCCGCACTCCTCATAAGATGGAAAGGGGGAACCCTCATCTCCCAACCTTGATTTCATGGTAGAGGGACGCAAACTCCTTCAACGCTTGGAACTTGAACGCGTTTCCTGAGTTCCATCATTGAGAAAATCCGAAGTCAATCTACAGCAAGAGCCATTTCAACTATAGACTCAGCTTTGCTGCTTGCGACTTCTCGATACATGTAGTTTACAAGCTGTGCATCGGACAAACGCCTAACCAGCAAGCAGCCAAAGCTATCAATGATCCCTAACCTCCCAGGTACCTACTATATAGGGCCCTAGGGGCTCCAGTACCCTATATAGTAGGTACCTGGGGGGTTCGAGGATTTTAGCGGCAACCCACCCCACCACTGCTAGCTGGAGCAGGGATTCTGCAGCGAACCTTCGCACACAGAAACAGGCAAATCAGTCTACACTCCGATCAGCCCAAGTCTCCCAACTGGATAAGGATGCGTGCACGACGAGGGTGATCCAAGGACAGAGACCATTCGGCTGTACCTGGATGTATGAAGTATTGTCGGGAGGATAACAGCACTGTCAGCAAGCAATCCTGTGCTTGGCATGTCCCACGTATCGCCATCCGGGAGGCTCTGCAGATGTTGGGCAGCTAAAGCGGGACATCGGAATGCAGCATCCAAGTGAGTGTCGAACCTTCAGATGGCATAAGCACAAGGTTCAAACAAGTATCTCTGAATCTCCTTCTCTCTGCATCATTTTCCTTGCAACTATCGACACTACCACCTGCATTTATCCCTATACTTGTTGTATCTTATCGCGCTAAACATGGATCTTGAGTAGACTTAATAATGTTCTCCTGCCCGAGCCTTAGGCCCCCCCCCAGCTCCCCATGTTTCTTCGGGCGTTTTCATATATCAAGTCCCTTCTGTCCGGAAGCAGCACATCGTAGATATTGATGCTACCGCACTTCGTTTGGTTGCTCTCCTGGCTCCGACTACTGTCCTTTATGCTGCTACTGCGGATAATCTTATAATCATTAAGAAAACTAAAAAATACTAACAACAGTAATCATAATACTACTAGAGTTTTTAAGATCTCCGGTTCCGGAAGATCCAAGATTCCAGAAATGCAATTGAAATTCCGCAGAAGAAGCAAAACAAATGCGATGAAAAAAGCGACCCCACAAGGCTGTGTAAAAAAGAAAGCCAAAACAACGTACACAAAAAAGCAACAACAAAGCAACAACAATGTAACGGAAAATGCGGAAAATATGCAACCCACGCGGAGAATCACCCAAACATATTGTAAAATGCAAGATAAATGCAAATCACAAAGTTGGTTGCTTTTATCTTGCTTTTTATGTGTGTTTTTGCTC